TTGATGAACCACATAGGTCATTGTGTGTTCAAATGATGCTCCAGTTTAGAAGAAGTTTTCCAAGCTCACCGAAACTGGGCTGGGCGGGTTCTTTAATAGTTTTCAGTGCTCATTCTCAATTGAACAGTCAATAAAAAAGGCGGGGAGTGAAAAGTAAATGTAAATCTAAAGAGACACGAAAAATTACATGTTTCTTGTTGTATAACATCAAAAGAGCCTTTTTACTCCACTTCAGGATAATGACTAAAGGTTTTCTTTTTCGTTACATTACATGGGCTTTTATCGCGGACTTCTTTCTATATACTCTATTACTTCTACGCATTGACTGTTAACTGAGATGGTTTTGGTACACTTGCGTGCTCTAAAAGTTATCGGAATAAAAATTCACGGATCCGAGTGCGCGGTCGCACTCGCCAAATCGCCCGGTCCACACGGCCAACAAAAGCCAAAACGCGCCGGTCGTCAAAGTGTGTTAAAGCAACCGTTGAACTGTTATCGAAAAGCGATAATCTAGTTTCAATCGGAAGATATTCGGTTCCTCAAACCGCAGTATGGACGGTGAGCATGGCAGTAACGTTTTAGGCGAAGGGAAGTTTGTATTTTATGGCAAGCGGACAAGAAACCTGTACTGCAAAGAGGCAAGGGGATCTACATACCGTGTTCGGACTTTGTGGAACTACTTAATCGTACTATAATCCCATGCCAAGAGCGATGATTCTAGCACGGTCGACGTCGCATCGCGGGCTGCGGCGGCTGCGCGGACGGCGACCTAGCCATGCCAGATGTGAAACGTCACGCACCCGCGTCGAACCTTGCACTACCTGTTCTGTGGCTATGGACTTACAGTCTTCTAAGTCTGAGTGGGCGTGTCACGGAATGACGTGGGCAGGCACCGCACTTTGATATAAGTGGGGATAAGCTGCTTCCAACCGCTTGCTGAATATCTGGCGGCGTATTCATCCACACAGCAAGTCTATCAAGTGCGGTGTCGCTTCCACGTCGATTTCGGCTTATTGAAGCGCGGGCGATTTGAGTGGGAACATGCATGCATCATCCTCAGAATAGAGGTTGATTAGAAATGTTTAAAAGATTGTGAGCGTCCTAGTGGTGCTATATCGTTGTGTACACATATCTATATTTCAATATTATTACATGAGAAAAGACTCATGGCTTAGTGTAGTCCCGCAAAGGAACAACGTAAAAAACCTGCATAGCGCAAAAAGGGTCATAGATACTAGGGTGGGCAAAGAGGTCGTAATAATTAACTGCGGAAATTGTTAGAGAAAAGAAAATTTCAACCGCGATTTGAAATTACAAACTTATTCCGTCCTAATGTTACTGCCATGCTCACCGTTCCACTGCGGTTTGGAACGAAATATCTTCC